TTTTATCACATTGCGGGGGTCATTGCCTCTCCACAAAGTAATGTATATCTGACCCTCACACCCCCGCCCCCCCCACACACACACATACAGGCAGGCATACATATACACACACACACACACACACACACACACACACAGCCACGCACATACACAAACAAACGCAGACACACACACACACGGGCAGACACACATACAGACACACACAGACGCACAGTCTCCCAGGCGACGGAAATTGCACGTATTTGGATGACATCGCTAAAGCATGTTAATGACTGCAGGCTCCACTTCAGTTTAACACTGCATTACAACAGTAGTACCGTGTCATAACCCCCCCATGTAAACATGATACCCCCCCATGTAAACAAGATATTCCCTCCCATGTAAACGATACCCCCCCCCATGTAAATAGAATACTCAGCCTCCACATGAAAACACACTGATCACCCCTTATAACTACAGTACTGCCCCCTTTTTGTAAACATGGTACTGACCCCCCCCCCCCTTTTAAACATGGTACTAGCCACACCCCCTGTAAATATGGTATTATCCCCCCTTGTAAACATGGTGGTTCTCCCCCCCATAGAGAGCACAGTCCATTACACAGTGACGGGGGGAGACGGATACCGACTGAGTGCCTGCCTTCACCGCCCTGCTTCTGTCAGGAGATTTGTGAGCACGTCCGCACCTTATTTCCACCTGGAAGCCGTTGGAAAGCACTCAGAAAGTCCCCACTGTAAATTATGAATGCGGCTCGCTCCTGCTGGATCGGCGTGACTCCCCCGTGACCCCTCCCGCCAGCCCGGCTCAGCCCTTGTGTGCACGGTGAACCAATTAAAGCGCTGCTGACATTTCCCCCTTGGCGGTATGACAACGTCGTCTGCGCGACGCCCTGTCGCCCCGTCCCTTTGTGCGAGCGCGAGGAGACGACCGTTCTGATAGGCAGGGGGGCGGGCGTGCAGCCTTTGGAGGCCCCCCCCCCACAACATTAGCCGCTATTGTGCCGGCGCTATCGGCCGTCTCCAGCGACGACCCCGCTAACGAACGCCATCGACTCAAAGGGCAACTCGGAGCGCTGTTCACCGATTTCTCACGGCCCTCGTCCCGTGATATTTCAAACGATGACACAGGAAATTAGCTTTTAGCGCAGCCTTTCGCTCCAAATGGCAGGCGGCATGATAAATCAGCTTCAGATTACTGCCACGGCAAGGCTGAGCAGTGACAGCAAAGGGCCTCCGCGATTCCACCCGTTGGCGGCGTAACCCCCAGGTTTCCGGGCCAAACTAAACCCACGATTCCACTTCAGCGTCCGGCATGTCAATAAACAGGCAATCCGCAGCAGTTCTGCAGACTCAAATCACCGAAATCTTTCCTCTTTCATTCATTTTCTCGTTTCTCTTTCCTCTTGCACAGAAGTCCTGATATTTCCACCAATAGAAACAAACATTTTCCCCCGACTGATGACATCATGATTCTACACACGGGACGTTCTCCGAATGTCCTGCATGCCCAGGAAGGCAGGAATGGCCTGAAGTTTTCGCACTAAAACACCCTAAAATATTTCAAACAGCAATCACTCCAGATTTTGCAATGATAACTGAGCAACAGCTTACAGCGTCTAGACAAAAAAGAGCCTATATCACCTAATAATCTTAAAAAGACCTCAATTTTCCTTCTCTGCCTGCCATTTCCCTACCTTATGTGCTATTTCATACCCGTATTCTATCTTACACAGGCACTAAAGTATAATGTTCTGATCTCAACCACTGGCGGATATGGCTAACCCCCTGTACTCCTTCCGAATGACGCTCTTCCCAAACAGCACAGTGGCGGCCACTTGCTTCAGCTGTCAAATACAAATGACTAGCCAGCTGGAGGGTTTGGCCATCAGCGACGCACTACTCTCATTTCTGGCCGCTTCCTCTCACCGGGAGAGGGAACGAGAGAGCGAGTTGGCTTCAGGTGTCCTTGAAAAACACAACATGTGTGACTCTGCGCGTCTCTGCACAGGCTGGACTACAGAGCTGCCCAGGGACTCCGTCCTGAGTCAGTTTGCATTCATTTTCTGTTAGACATTCATCAGCAGAAAAATTAGAATCTGGACCTTTATTGGCCGCATGGCCAACGCCGGTGTAAATTATTGTTGGCACGGTTTGCTGCTGTTGGAAACACCATGACATTAGACAATTAACAACTAGGGCATAAACAGACAGAGAATAAATACAAGACACACAACAGGGAAGAGTAAACGCAAGTTATAAATAATTATTCGACAATCCTGAATTAACATCAATTCCCTCAAGCCACAAAAAACACCTCGATTGCACAGGGAATCAGGAATAAATGTGCCTGAAAAATACACAAATCCCTTATAGTCTACAGCTGCCTTCGTGAGTGACGGATATCTGATACTCCGGATCCTTCTGGACACTGTTGCCAGCGCTGTCGGGATGACATGCCCTCACGTGGGGGATCCTCCAGAGCCGCCTTAAACCCGCTAGCCGTGTTAACGCTAGTGCAAACACTTCCAACAGTTTGTGCATCTTCGCTCGACTATGTCGCGGCAAGATGCGAGATACAGCCGAGAGACAAGCAGACACGTGCGACGTAAACGAGAAACAAAAAGAAAAAGGAAAAAAACGGCAGGAAACCATTACCGCTGAAAAGGGGTTTAATGAATCAGCTGATGATTCTCTTAAAGCACTTTATGGGAGGCTAACAGGACAGAAAATACCTATTGAGAGTATTTTAAGATGATTGTTTGGACAGATGGTAAAGCAAAATGGGAAGCAGATGAGAGCTGAGGCTAGTATTTAGAAGAGTCCGTAATACCTACGATCTGGGCCGATTACACGATATTTTTAAGGTGGGTGGCACGAGTAGGGCTTCTATTCATACAAAGGGGCCAACCTTATTAGCCAATGAAATGTTTGAAATCAGTAGGTGACAGGAGATGGGGAACTCTGAGGGCCAATCAGCTTTCAGATCGGGCAAGTGGCCCCGCCCCTGTACGTTGAACAGGAACCTCGAGGTTATCACTGATTGGACATCTTAACGTCTATGCAAAAAAGGGAACATTCCAGACCAAGTAAAAAGAAAAAAGAGGGACAGATAGAGGCAGCAAGATGAGAACTGGGTTATATTACATTATCAGCTGGGGTGATTAGGAAGCCATGTGGGCTGACTGGGGATCAAGGGACGGAGACAGCATCATAGGCAGCCTGCCTGAGAAAGGCAGCTGTGAATGTCTAACGAGCTGGGGGCTCGCTTAATGAACGAGCTGAAAGGCTGCTTCTCCTCCAGCAAAAGTCCTCCCTCCTCGCACTGCCTGCTGATTTAAAGGGCCCCCGATTGCTCCTACTGCCTCACAACGTCCGGAGGCGACCAGGATGTCCTCCTCTGGAGCCTGGGCCCACTCTGCCGAGGACACGTGGATCGGACCTCACATGCAGAAAAAGGCCCTACCGTGCTACCGTACTACGGTTAGAACTAAGGAGGGATTTTTCCCCTCAAATATAAGAAAAATCATCATGGGTCTGTGTCCCGCGCCGCCAGAACGAACTCGGCCCGAAACGATACAAAAAAAAAAAAACACGGTTTTCATTCCCCCGCGATGTATAGTGAGCAGCTCGCTGGCAGATCGGAGGAAATGTCCACAAAGCCGCCGCCGTGTTCCACCCAGAAATCGTTTGCAGGTAAGCACACGAGCAAGGTGAACTCAATCTGCTGCGCCTGACCTCGGCCTCACGAATCAGACACAGAGGCATAAGCACAAAGGCATAACGAAGGGGAATTCCCTCAGAGGGCTCGGCTTCAAAAGAGATCAGACCCATGCAGCTCTGGCCGCAGACCCGTCCCAGGTCTCCTGATCTACATCATGCAGTCTGAATTCCTGCAACACCGCAACGCACTGCGTGTATCCAAACCACACTGCTCAAATGGTGGGCGTTAAGGGGAAATGAGACCAAAGGTTTATTACAATGGGATGCACGTGTAACCAAACGTAGGAAGACGGATAATCCTCCCATGTGACTTAAGTATCTTACGCTGTACCTTAAAAAAACCTCTGTTCTTCCAATGTAAGCTGTTCACCATCAAACCCACTGCACAGCCCAAGCCGAAAGTTGCTAGATTTTTATTTATAGTTTATTCCTTGCTGTATTGTGTTTATCGTCTTACACGTAAAGCCGTTTTTAAAGTCTTGGGTGAATGCGATTTTGTTTCATAGTATGTCTGCATAATTTGAAATGACAAAACATTTCTTTCTAAACATATGATGGATTACTGTACCTGAAGGCACCGCTGACCAGGTTTGTTAAAGGCGATCCCTCCGTGTGCTAGCATGCGTTTCTGCATCATCGCTCCCTCGCATCCCAGCACAAAGACTCCCCATTCAGCCCTTGGCCCGATTGAAAGCCCATGGAACAGCAGGAGGCTGACAGGGAGCTCGGTGAGTATAGGGTCATGTGACTGACAGCCACGCCCCCCCATTGACCCGGGGGTGCCAGACAATTGCACCTTTACCTTGTGCATGTAAAGCCTCGGCGCTGAAAGCGGGACATCGTGCTTACCCTGCTTTAACTGGAGGGACAGCAACCCCCCCCCAGAGTGACATCACCATGCAGCTCAGCTCAGCTTGGAGCAGCCTGACCTGCTGATGTTCCTCATTTCGCCCATCCCGTGGTCAATATCCAGTGTTGGGGAAGTTACTCACAAAAGTTCAGGTCCAGAGAGTACAAATCCAGACCAAGGTTTTGTTTCAACCAACCAGTTAAGTATAAAGAGTCACAGTCACAGAGTACTCAACTGGTTGGTTGAAACAAAACCTCGGTCTGGATTTGTACTCTCTGGACCTGAACTTTTGTGAGTAACTTCCCCAACACTAGCAATATCCACACACATTAATTTCATAGGCTGCTAATTATGACTGTGATTATTTCATTAATTAGCCCCCCCCTGGTTCGGGTAGGTGTAGGTCAGGGGTGTGCAAAGCTCACACTCACCAGTTTGTATCTCTGCATTGGGATCCTACTGGTGTCGATGGGGCTCCGCTCCGTCTCGTTGACGAACTTCACCTCGGGCACGGCGATGGCGCACATGATGTGGGCCCATCTGCGGGCACATCGCCACGGTTACGCATGTGGGGGGGGGGGGGGGGGGCGACTGTACTGGATGTCTATCGAGACCCAAAAAGTCATGGTGGCATCCCTAAATGTACTCCCGAAACAGAAGTACTCAATACTCTAGCCTTAAGGTGTAGAAGGTGCATTGAAGGCTAAGAAGAATAGGACCAAACGGAGCACGCTTGTGGATGCCACCAGCACACCTGGCACGGATCTGATCCAAACCCACGAGGATCCTTACTTGTCGTCTGTGGTCCGCTTCAGAGCTCCGCCCCTCAAGTTACACAGGCAGCACTCCTGCAAGAAAACAGTGTCACACTCAGGTACGAAAAAGCTTGCCTCCTACTGGACAGTAACTGAATTGCATTAGTGGGAATAGCTCGCCTCCTACTGGACAGTAAAAGAATTACACACGTGGGCAATTAATTCTGAGAGGTGACAAAAAACAGAGCTGTGAGAGCAGTGTTTTTTAAAGAGGTGCCAATGACATTGTGTTTGACACTGATTGGACATCTTTACTCAACTGGCCCGAGGCATTTAATGAACACGTCAGGGCACTGGTGGGGCGTGAGTGATAGTAGTTAAATATCCTGTTAAATATCCTGGAACCATTTTAAATCCAGGAATAAGGGGTATAGCCTCTGATCAACGTGCCGCTGTAGGATTCCTAATCAGCAGCCACCCTGGCGGATTTCAAACAGAGAGGAAAAAGCCCTAATGATTTTTAAGGGCAGGTCCAAAATCCCCTTTTCCAGAACACAGGGCTCTGCAAAACAAACCCAGCCTCTCCCCAGAAGTCTAAACCTAACTGATTACAGGGAGGCATTCAGTGTTTCTCTGTATAATAAGAGCACCTCTGCTGACAGCTCCCTGAAGCAGGAAGACGTGTGCAGCGCCCGCAATATCGGCCGGGCAGGAACCAGGCCGGAAAGATGAGTGTAAAAGCCACAGCCGCCTCCGCGGATGGGGAAAAAGCACCTTTCTCCGTCAGAAACGACAAACCCGCCTTCTACGTCCACAGGGAGCTTGACTGAAGGGTTTTGACGTAGCGCGCATCGTTAAAACAGAAAAGAATTCTTACGAAGATGACAAGCGACGCACCTGAGTACATCAATGGCACGGATGCCAACGTCTGCACATGCGATCCTGGCCAGATTTACATTCATTTCGCAAACACTTTCATGCAAAGTGACATACGTTTATTGAGAAAGCGGCGTCCAGTCCATGAAGAAATTAGGGCTTTAGGCCCATGGGATCTGAACCTGTGACCACCCGGTCACAGCGTCCTAACACACCAAGCCGCACATTATCATCACATATCCACATATTGCATCAGCAATAAAGCTTTTTATTACACCATCTACACAAATATAATCAGCCTCCTGCTCTGCATAATGCCAGCGACGAGTGAACCATCTGTTGGGCGAATCTTGAGCGGCATTCCATTGCGGCCTGCCTGCTCTGAGATCCCGGGGAAGGAGAGCTCGTCTGACAGGACCCTGCCTCCGGCACTAATTAAAGCTCATTAAAAAGCACCATCAAAACAAAGCAATAAAAAATATAAACAAGCCATTTTAATTTGGGTATGAACCACACAAAAAGTCAATGCATATTAATGCATTTTCCCCGGCCTGCCTGAAATATTTAAAATATAATCTCTCCAAATTCTGTATTATAGCTCATTTAGTTTGAATACAAACAAAAATGCAATTTATTATTTCACTGGAGATTTTTCTCCTCCTTAAAATGATTAATGCGGCCTTGAGGTGATTTTCTTCGCTGTGTCTCTGATTTATGTACAGTACGTGAATGAGACCTCTGTGGCAGGTCAGACGCGGACGGCATTTGGTACTGGGAAGATGGCGGTTTAAGGTCAAGCTATGAGGAACCACACGGGGTTCCATGTGAGCGGAGCCGGACACCTTCGAGTCCCTGCACCTCTACGGAGCATCTCCGCTGGCTTCTGCATTGTGCCTGGGGAGGGACGAGCCAGAACATCTGGTGGACGGTGCACGGAGGGAGGGGCTAAGGGGGTTTACTGCTCGCGGGAAGACGACCGAAAAGACTGAATCAGAATCGTTTATTTATGGTACCTACCAGCATGTTACTTGGGGTGTTATGCAGAACAATCAAGCACAATAGAGACAATCCATATAATGAAATTATGTGCGTGAATAAAGTAACGTGCCTCGTGTAGATCATGTGCACATATTGGAGCAGGTGGTTAGATGGGTGTGGAGATGGACTTAATCATTGGCTGTAATCGCTGGTGCAGGGAAACAGCTGTTCTTTAGGAGCGTGGTTTTGGTTCCGATGGACACTTACGGCCGTCAGGTCCCCGCTGGCGCAGCGATCACATGACCAGCCGCCCTGCACGTCTTGATCGAGGACACCGTAACAGCCTAAAGACACACACAGACAAGAAGCACGCGGTCAGTCGCCCAGGCTCTCTGATAGGGACGTCCTCTTGGCTTTTCAGAACAGCCTGCTGCCGTTCGGCTCTTTCCACAAGCTCCAAACTCAGATTCCAAATCGTGAACTACTGATCACAGACCTTCCCTGAAAAACGTCCATAACTCTCGCTGTCTTCGCAGAGCCATGAAACATCCTCCGTGACCCTGGACACCAGGACCAAGAGATCTGATTGGTTGGACCCACCTCCTCTACGATCTGATTGGTTATCTCTGAACCAATTGTTTCTCCTGCTGCGCTCAGAACATTTTTGTGTAAGTAAAACTCCAATGAGTGCAGAAGGTATCGTGTAGTTAGAGGCCACACTACCAGACATTTTTTATCCCAGTGTGATAAACTCTTAGACATAAACCAAACTGACAGGGGCATAGGAATGAGAGTGGATGGAGGGACCCCCATATTTAATTTGGCTACATTTGTCACCCCCAAAAAGAGACCTTTACACTGAAATTAAGCTGTGTCCACCTCAATATCAAACTCTTCTATGCCCTTGTCCATGTACTGCAGTACCACATTTTCACTTTGCAATTTTGCAATGTTTATTGTCTTGCACATACTGTTTGCATATTATGTCTTGTTTTTGTTTACATCACTCAAGGAGTTGCTAACTCAATCCTGTTGTGCTGCTGTGTTTGTCATGTAATGACAATAAAGAGTTGAATCTTGAATCATGTAAAAAATATGCCAATCTGGGCCAATCTGAGCCATGTTACCCATTAGCAAAGGCAGAGCTCACATTCTGCAGCCCCACAGAATGCTGGGATAGCATGCGGCGGTGCTGGCATGGAGCGTGTAGCTCTGCACGGCAGGCATGTGGCCCGGGGGTGGAGGGATGCTCGCCCAATGGGACGGCCGCTGGCTGCCTCCCCCCAGCCCCACCCAGGGCCGGGCCGGCACCATCGTGCACGGAAAGAAAACAGAGAGCCGAGAGTGTTTATTTCAGAGGGAAACTATTCCGATATTCGAAACGTGGAGTCGAAAAAATAAAAAATAAGTACACGCAAATCAACCACATTTTCCAAGCTGGCAATGGAAAGGTCACACGACACCGTGCGGACGTGTCTTGCGGGGGAGGGGAGCCCACCAGCGAATCAGCTTTCAGGAAGACGGCGGGCGACACTTACTGGCGTGCACCTGGACACAGCACCTCCTGCAGGAGATCAGGGGGCTGGATCCATCCTCCGCCAGCAGGGCATTGGGGGGACACGGCTCCTCCCGGTACGCGAAGCAGATCTCGGGAATCAAGGGCCTGGTGTTCAGCTGGCTGGGGGCTTCCTCTGCAGGCCTGCTCTCCTCCGGCTATGGGGGGGTGGGAGCACGAAGCCTCGTCAGCACGCACCGAGTGGATCTGTGCCGGCCTGGCGGTCGGGCACGGGGGCGTCCGAGGTGAGTCCGGTCAACCGACGGAACCCTGTACCGACGTCGCTAAGGCTGACTGGTCATGCCGTCAAAGCCGCTACATTTGGACAAACACTCTCCGGGCCCCTGGAAGAATCCCTACGCTGTTATATAACCATGTAGCCATCTTTCCCAGCACCTACAGTCTCGGCCTGCAGGGGGCACCGCTGCGCACAAGCCACAGGCCGCGCCTACCTGATAATAAGGCATGAAGAGCGTGCATATGGCGCAGTAGGGCTCTGTCTTGGCAGCGTTGGCGTTGTAGTCCCGCTCCGCGGGAAAACTGGCCTTCCTGTTGTGCCAGAGGTGGACCAGTGGCCTGGCCCAGGGCTCCGCCTCCTCGTCTGTCAGTTCTGCAGTGGGAGGAGTCAGAGCATTATTGGGGGCGGGGTTACACCCATCTCCATGGCTTCCTTCATTAGTGTAGCAGCAAAGCCAGCTTTACTTATTTAACTACAAGTCAAACTACCCGTTAAACTACTGATCATCACATGCCGATATAATATCTCCTCTAACTTCGATATCCACTTTGGCTCCTCCAGTTTCTATTTTTGCACTGGCTGTTGCAGAAGCAAATCTGACGAGCAGTCCACCGGATATGTTTTCAAGAAAATTTCTGTGGAATGAGTCTTGGAAATTTAATGAAAGTTCGTTGGATTACAGGAGGACTGAGTGAGTTCTGGGTCCCAGTACTGTAGCATATGATGAGGAAGCCTGACAGATTGTTACTCTCACCTCAAGTATATAAAAAAAAAGTTCTGAAAACTTGCTCTTAAATTGCATTTATAATACTTGTAGAGATGCTCCCAGAGTTAAGATGAGGTTACGTTCTGATAACCGTATCGCAAGGCAAAAATGCATTTCAATAAGTACGTCAACCTAACAAACATCATGGCCTAGCCTAGCCTACCTTAAAACATGCTTAGAACACCTACATTAGCCAATAGCTAAATCATTAACACAAAGCCTATTTTATGATGCTCAAAGTGTTGAGTATCTCATGTATTTTATTTAACTACACAAGTAATATTTGTATTGACTTGCTGCTGTGACGATTTCCTGTTACAAAATTTAAAAAAAGTATCCATCCAACTACACATCTATCTCCTTTCGATAAGTCTACTGAAGTAACATGCGCACTGTATGGACCTTAACCCCCACCCCCCCCGCAGCGTTTCTGGCCTGTGAATTCCCTGGATTTCGGGAACCTGGGTCTGCACAGATATTATGGGCCAAACAGCAGCTGACAGGCGGAAACAAGCAGAGCAGCCGGGCACGGCCAATGAGACACGGAAACTTTGACAAAGATAAACGCGGAAAGGTTCTGGGGTAAAAAAAAATGAAAGGGCCATTTTGGCGGTGGAAGGGAAGCCGGGTGCAGAGGCCAGAGGCCCAGGACACCATTTTCCCACTGGCGATCGGCTTCAGAGATGATCCTCTAACAGCATGGCTGGGACGGGGCAGATTAGCGGGGTCCTTTGGAGGGCGTACATGGCTGTCCGTGCACATGCCCGAGTCCATTTATAAAGCGTAATGAGGAAATGCCGTCACCAAGAAAAACTATAAAATACATACATCCGACTCAAATACACTTTTTCCCTCTGGGTTTTTGAGGGAGGAAAAAACAAGACAAAAAACAAAACATTTCATTGCTTTAATTTTCTCGTGGGTAGCTTTGGTAATCGCTAATGGCACTCGAGCGAGAGTAAGTGGACGGCCCACACGAAAAGAGGAAATCAAACGTGCCTTAATATTATATCAGCAACTTTTTTTAGCTTATAATATCAAAAAAATTCATAGCCAGAGGCAAATTGATTAGCTATGCCTAGCAAGTACTAGGTAGGGCACCCTTTCTGCCTGCAGAACTACGTTAAGGGTTGATGGAAACCTTTTCTAGACTGTTGTACTGAGCTGTTATTTCTGTACTCGTGGCCTTCTTGTTAGCTTTAACGAGTCTGGGCGCCCTCCTCTGACCTCTCTCGTTAACAAGGTGTTTCCCGCCACAGCAATAACATTGGCTGAATGTTTTTGTTCATCTCTGTAATTTCTACACTCCAGTAGTGCGTGCAAATTCCAGAAGGGTGACTGTTTCTGAGATGCTGGAATCACCGTGTCTGGCACCAATAATCACACCGCGTTTAATGCCGTTTACATTTCTGCACAGTAAATGAACCACTTGACCCCGTCTGTATGATTCTGTATGTATTCAGCTGCAGCCACGTGATTGGCTGTTTGGAGGAGCAGCCTATCTGACTGACCACTGAGTGGACAATACAGCTAGTGCCCAATACAATAAAAATGTGCAAAAGTAATTCTCAGTTTCACTACGTGAAGCATTTTGAAAACAAATTAAACCATAAAAGTGTAAGTCTGGGTGATAATCTGTCCTCCAGTATCAGTTTACATAAACAATCCTTTTTGCATTAAAATCACCACCAAACGGCTGGGCGGGAACAGTACGATTCAACAATTTTCAAACACAAATATTTGAATGATCTTGTTCTCGGTTTATTTATATTAAATGAAAATATGTTTGTGTGCCAAACATAAGGTTTAAGGAGCATTTCGGTAACAAAAAAGCGAGATGGCAATCTGGACCGGCGGCTCTGACACAGACGAGCAACATTTACATCCTGGGAGATGTGTGCGAGATGTCGAAGCAGCGGGTGACAGCCTGAACCAGCATGCTGATCCCCGTCATGAAGCTTTGACCCCCGCGTGACCCCCGCGTGACCCTGCCTCCCCAGGCACGCTTTAGCAGTGGGAAATGATTTAAGTGGAATGCCCGAGATGGGAATCCCATCCAGAAAGGCTGTGTTTCAGATCACCGAGAAGGAGCACGGGGCCCTCGTAGGGACGACTTTCTGGAGGTCTAGTATACATGCTCCGGCAACACAGAAGATGGTGAGAGATGAAATTACTCTCTCGCCTCCCCATGGAAGACGCCCTAAAACCCACACAAGCCTTTCCTGTTTGTGTGTATGTGTTTGCGGTGGTAGGGGGGGGGGGGGGGGCAAAGAGAGCCGCTGACTCATAGCAACACCCATCCCCCCCAACATCACACACGCATGCTGTGCCACTCCAGAACTAGCACCCCCCTTCTGCATTTCCCAGCCCCCCTTAGGCTCCTTCTGGGAGACGCTGTCCTCCAAGAGGGGGCTAGGCTGAGACCCCCATCATGATACTCCTGTGCGCTATTAACTATCGGTCTCAGTTAAAGCTCAGTGGCGTAATTGGCTACGACAGGAATTACTGACGGGCCTTATAGGGGAAGGAAGCAAACAAGAGGCAAGGAAGCAAACAAAACAAACAAACAGGCAGGCAAGCAAGCAAAACAAACAAACAGGCAAGCAAGCAAACGAAACAAACAGGCAAGCAAGCAAGCAAAACAAACAGGCAAGCAAGCAAAACAAACAAACAGGCAAGCAAGCAAACAAAACAAAACAAGCAAAAAAGAAGCACGCCCCCTCCACTCCCAGCTTCCCTCTCTTCCCTGGGCCCTGCTGTTCTCCTTGTCCCTGTCTACAACCCTGTCTGCAAACCTGTTTCTTCCCCATCGCCATCGCAACCCAAGAAGCCTCCCTGATTTTGCACTGGAGCGCCGAGGTAACTTGCCTCTTACTTCCTACTTACCGAAAGCCCGCTATCTGCATTTACGTACATACATAACGCTGGTGACATGCAAACTGATAACTATTACTGAGCCGTCAAGGACATATTTCACCATCCATTCCTACATGATCACGGATGAATTCCTGCTCTCCACAACATTTAACAGCTACTATTGATTTACACTCTCCCCTCCATTCATAACATGTGCTTCAGCATTATCTCCCTCAGGGCGTCAATCGCCAGACAGGCCTGAAATAAGAAACGTGCTCAAGATGAAAACATCAATAGTTGCTCTCTGACAAAACCACGCTTGGACTTCTTAACCGGGGGAAGTCATGTGACCAGAAGGGCTCACTCCCAAAACGGGGGGAGACAGGAACTTCCTTTCAGGTGGCTAAGTCGCATTTCTCAAGTCTAGCATAAGGCAATAAAATATGTCCGCTCATGCCTTTACAGGGAGGGACAACGAGACCAAACAGAACGAACAGCTAGCCTACAAAACAGTATTATTTAGAGCCAAATATTTAATTAAGATTTGATTAAGTAGCACAGTCTTTGCTCATGTCCTCGATTTTTAATGAAAGCAAGGAAAAGGATTACTTCAAAAGTTAAAAAAAAAAACAAGGCTGTTATCATAATAAATAAACAGAAATAAAAACTAATTACTTGACTAAATTAGGCTTTGACAACCTCCAGGCCAGTGCAGTCAATATGCAAGAATCTGCATGAGCACTGAAGACACCAGGGCGGTTTAATAGACAGAATAATCTGGGGCTGCAACAGGCCATCCCAGGGGGAACGCCGTGAAACAAGAAGCCATTTCGTTACGGTCAATTTATTTGTCCCAGTGGTGGCATTTTGCAAAGTCAATATTTACTCCACTCACTAAAACCAGACAGTGGGAACCGTTCACATGCAGAACCACAGGTGGCTGAGAGAGGGCGTGTTAGCTGTTTTCTTTATTAGTCATTATTTGGATGCTAGCTGAACATCTGAACAAGTGCAAAATCTGCATGACTCCACCCCTTGAAGACTGGAGTTTGGTGTCGGTGGTGCGGCATGACTACGAGGGAGCCGGGGACTCACCCTCGTCGCTTGTGGTCTGCTGCTTGACGGCGCTGGGTGCGGCCCGGGCGGTGGGCTTCCTCAGGGGGTGTCGCCAGCTCTTGGTGGTCTTCTTCCGGCCCAGTTTGATGACCATACGATTGGGGTACTGAGGGGGAGGGGCGAGAGCGTGTTTTGGGGCATGCCGTCGTTTCACACGAGACACCATATAAGCACTTAATGAGTGATATGCATATGCAAATTGAGGGCTTGCGTCTGTCCAATGAGATTGCCTGTGTATACTGTGGGGGCGGGCATAAGAGCTCCGGCCATTGTAACGCTACAGATACGCACAGTGCAAACCTCCCCTGGCTCCAACTCGACGTCGCAGCACTCCATGTCACTCATGTTGTTGCCCTCGCTTGATTCGCTGCTGCTGTCCTCGGCCCTGGAGGCGTTTAGCTCCGCCTCCGAGTCGCCATCTCGCGGAGAGGACGACCCCGCCTGCCCCAGGCCGGGCACCCGAGATCCGCAGGCCACGCCCTCCGCCTCCACCCAGTCCGCGGCCAGCTGAGTGCTGGGCGACGCCAAACCCTCGTCGCACGGCTCCGCTGCCGGGCCCCGGGGCCCCTCTTCGGCAGTCACCTCGGCCCACACGGCGCCGTGGGGGGAGTTGACGTCCCCGGCCAACACAACCCGCAGCTCCGGGAGCGCGCTCTCTGTCAGGACGGCTGGGCTCCGGGCGCTGAGGTGCTCCCAGAAGCCCGAGGGCAGAGGCCTGGGCTCCGGTTCAGTGACCCTGGCATCCTCCAGAGCCCCCTGCTGTCCTAGCGTGGCACTGCCGGTGTTCGTCTGCAGACCCTTCGCCGAGGTCAGGGCCCTGGTTTCACAGTTATCAGGGGGAAGACATTGGAAGACGAATCCAGATTCCTGAACAGGATCCCTGTCCCGTATAGCCAGAGATGATGGACTGTGGGGGGCGCTCTCATGCGTCTGGGGGACAGAGACCCTCTCAGCACCGGGCACCGTGGAGGGTGCTGGGTCCGGCAACTTGGAATTGGGCGGCCCCACGGCAACATCGGCTTGGTCTCCGGGTAACCGGCTGGGGCCCGCCTTCTCAAGTTCAGTGGGAGAGAGAGATCCCTCCCGGTACAGCGTGGGGGCCCTGGGTTCGAGCTCAGCACCCACGGCCGGCGTAAGTGATGGCATCTCCTGGCAGAGCAGCGGGGGGAGCTGCTGCTCGTCCTCGGCGAAGGCGGGGGTCAGGGCAGGCATTTCGTTGCCGGGAACTAGGCCGGATGGGCCTGGGGGGGCGTCGTACAGGCCGGGCTCGCCGCCGTGCAGAAGGGGAGGGGGGCAACTTTCTGCATCACAGCTGGCAGCCGGGGAAGTGCTTGGGGCTTCCTCTGAAAAAGGGGGGCAGCCATCGTCTGATGTAGGGATGGAGAGATCTGGCGTAGTGAGTCCCTCTGCGGGAAGAGCACAAGGGGGCGCTCTGGAGACAGCATTCAGCTCCTCTGAGGAGAAAGAGGCTGGAGCGGGCGTCAGCTCACAGACTGTCCCAGTTTCCTGCTCAGGCCCTTCCTGGCCGTCAGTTGGCGTAGAGCGCCCCCTGGAGCTCAGGTAGTCAGCGGGCGTCTCGTTGCCATCACCCTCTTTGCTGAGAGAAGCTCCGGCCTGACACGTCCGCTCCCTAGATTCCGCACTGTCGTCCGCAGGCTGCACCTCCATAGCCTCCCTGGGGGGTGAAGCCCCCAGCTCCTTGTTCACAGGCTGCGGGGGATGGGAGCTGTGGCTGGGGGCGGCAGAGCCTCCGTCCACCCGGCTCACGCTCACAGTGCACATCTTCCGGGTCTTCGTCATCTGACAATCACCTGGACGACACAAGTTAGGACAGCCAGGAATCAGAACAAGCCTCTCCAGTTTAACTCAGAACGCAATAAATTAGCACTAAACACTTCAGGGACTATTTATACGCTCCCATATGTGATGACAATTTAACCTTTCACCGTTGCACAGTTAATTAAAAAAAAAATAACCCACGTTCCATCAGTTCAGTAGAAGGAGCTGTGTTTTGCATTACTCGCATTTAGACGGCATTTCAGTAAAATGCCTTTTTCTTGAACTGCCATGAGGGCTGATCGCAGGATGCTGATCGCACCCCATCGCTAAACGCTAAGTTCTCAGTACACACACCCAGGGGTTCCGAAAAGGGCGGGAAAGTTAGCGCGACTCCTAAAACTTTGTAACATAATTGGATTGGTCTGGGTTGTTGGCTCAGTATAATATGCTACCAAGGGACCCAAAATCATAGATACACACACACACACACACACACACACATATTCTGAAGGAAATTCTGCTCTCACAGACCCCCCCCAACAAAAAAAAAAAAAAAAAAGGAATACTTTAACCCCCTACGTGTGACGCTCTGATACTTCATGTCCGTGTTTACGTGTGAAACCCAAAGCTGTCACCAATTACTGTGCTGTAGTGAGGCAGGAAACGCTCGGTCGCCCTCGTCTCACCCGCCGTGCCCGGTGCATTCGGCGCCTCCTTCTCCCCCGGCACCCGCCGCCGGCCCTGACTCTCGCCGTGCGCCTCCGCCTCCGCTTCAGGTTCCGGCCCCGCCCTCCTGGCCCCCCTCCGGGGCCGGGGGCCCTCCTCGGCCGGGCCCTTCAGCTTCTTGGAGCGCGTCCGTGGGTGATGAAGGCTGCTAAGAAGCAGGTGAGATCAGACACTGATCTGACCCTATACCTCTAAGACGACTGTGATCATATAAGATAGCAGGCTTCGCACTAATATGGGTGATATCCCAAATCATCAAGTGACTGATACCCAAAACAAAAAATAACAGCCTTTAGGTATTAGCCATTTCCAACTCTGATCCGATATATAGCAAAATATTCTATCAATTTAATATTTTTAGCTGATTTTTTTTCTTTCATATCTAACGGTATTGATAATTATCAGGATGTAATTCAAGTCATTATTTCTTTACTTCAACTCTCCGTTTTCCCTTAAAATTCCCTTCAAGTTGCCTGTAAACAGATTCAGAAAACGAAAAAGGTAACAAACCGAATAGACTGCAAACAGAAACCTAATTTTAATACGTATATCACATTGAAATAAACGTTGCCATAGTGCAGGCCACTAGAAAACGCTGATAATACATTTTGTTACTAGGATGACTAGTGACTGACTGCCTCACTGTTCCGTCCAGGGAACGGATCTCACTAATACTGGACGATATGCCCTAAAAATGACATCACAATATTTCCATAATACTGATATTCTAAAATTCATAAGTACAGTATGAAACAAAACAGTAAAATACAACAGGTTATAACAGGCTGCTTTTGATTTTTCTGATTATGTTGTTTTTGTTTGACTTGTTTTACTAATAGTTGTGGAGCCAGAGATACTGTAGGTACAATGAGAAATTACACCAACAATGTACACCAAAAATGTGCATTGTGACGATTAATTATGCAAGAAATTTTTTTAGCCCATATCACTAAACTCAAGATATTCAAGTCGATGATACGATGATGTGAATGTTCATAATCACTATATCATATTTGGTAACACTTTACATTAAGTGCGCCTTCATAATGCATTCATAGAACATTCAATGCACCTTCATAATGCATTCATAGAACATTCATAAGCAGCATGCAAGTACACCTTGACATCCTAACATCCCTTAACAGCTTTAATATACATTAATCACAAACATTACATGATAATACAATTATAATGTTTGTTACTATTATATAATGTTTGTTATTCATGTATATTACAGTTGTTATGGGATGTTAGGATGTTAAGCTATACATACATGATGTTTATGAATGTCTTATGAATACTTAATGAATACATTATGAAGGTGCACTGAACGTTTTATGAATGCAATATAAAAGCATCATGAAGGTGCAGTTAATGTAAAGCGTTACTCAGTATTTTATCAATATATCACCCAATCTTAATCATAGCATCACTACAGCAGCTTTAAAGGTACCAATCTGAAGTGCTCCCAGCAATCAGCAGCACTGCATCATTCCAGGGGGCGCTGTGTGTGTCCCCCCCTCGCAAATACCTCGATTTACGGCCCAGGCGAGACTGATAATGACCAGCAAAGGAGGCCAAAGGTGTTTTCAACATCCACAGGCCAAAGGGAAAGCTTTGGATTTTAAATAGCTTCACAACACAAAAGTGACACTGTCATTTTTGAACCCTGTCATGTAAAAAGCACATAATTATAATGTGAGACTTCCACCTCTGAACTGCGAGAGACGGCGACACGCTATTACAGCGTACAGCCTACTGAGTAAACTGTACTAACGTGTATCATTAAAAATCATTGTTATGTTCAGACTCGCACTCTAAAGTCACCTGCTGTTCGGGACACCGTGAAGGACAGACCGGGGACCGGAGACGAGGGGACAGTAGCTGAAAGAAGGGACAATGGCATTTACAGCCATTCATCTGGTTCTCCTGTCCCTAGTCGTTGCTGTCCACAAATCCCGCTCCCCAACCCAAAATCATCATCCTTTTTAACCCCGTCTCCCATCCCCGGCACCCAGAGGTCCCTGAACAGGAGGCATCGGGAGCAAATCGTCTGGTGGGGAATGAACGCGTCACGAGGTTTGATCTCCCACAGGGGAACCCGCACACTGTCGCCTAACCCCGGAACCAGCTGTCTAATTTATGCCCCGTTCATGTGGCACATGGTTGACTATAATTACAGACACACTGCCGTAACTAGTAACAGAAACATTTTGGTTTCTAAATGATGCTTTATTTGTACAAGAATGAGTACAGGTGCACTGGAATGCTTCTTTTCACATATCTGCCCTTCCACTCCACACACACACACACACACACACACACACACACACACACACGCGCACACACGTGCACACACGTGCACACTCACACGCGAACACACACGCACACACACAGGTTTGTAATTATATCTTTGCGGGGACTCTCCATTCATCTCTATGGGGAAAACTCTAATCCCAACATAACCCCGATCCAGCCCTAACCTTAACCATAAGTAACCAACCAAGATACAAGACTGCACTACTTTTTGACTGCTGTCACAGATTTTTATAAAACTTACTTTCTCCTTGTGGGAACCGAAAAAATGTCCCCATAAGGTCAAAATAACAGGTTTTTATCACATTGTGGGGACATTTGGTCCAGATTAACCCCAAACCTCTCCAGAGGTTTTGTTATGGTCCTTCCATACAGGAGAGAGCAAAGCTTAGGGTTCGAGTGCAGGTTTCTGGCCATTTATCCGGTATCCCTAAACCATTTTTGATAGGTTAAGGACTTTCCTCAAGGACATGGGCGAGATGTGATTATTCCACCAAGCATGGGATTCAAACCAGCAACCTTTGGATTACAGACACAGAGGTCTTACCCAATAAGCCACAGAAGGTTTGAGGCTCTCATCATATGATCAAAGCGGATGCCTGAAGCACTGCGATGAGATTGTCGCACCCCACCCATATCCCGGCCAGGGCCCGCGGTATGGCCGGAAGCTTCCCTTCCCGCCGCTTCTCATGCCGAGAGATGAATCATCGCCCGCGAGCGGCCCGGGTCAACAACAAGGCCCTCATGAATATGCAGCGCACGGCGTTCATCAATTACACATAATTAGGGCGTTCCGGCGTCGTCTTCCACTGTCACTTAGAGAGACATCGGTGAGCAGACGCAGAGGCCCAGGGAGAACTTCTAGAAGATTCTGTGAGCCGCCACCCTGCGCCCCTACAGTAAGCAAAGCAAACATTTAAGGCTTTTGTGTCGGGTCTTTTGTGGCTTTACGAACCCCCTGACCACATCTGGAAAGTTCTGGCGCTATTAAGCGCCTGTGTATTTGTTGGAAAATGTGCACATTCGATTCCACCCCCCACCCCCCCCTAACCCCAGTTCGTGCTAAATGTGCTAAACATGCTAAACGAAGTATCGCTGTCCTCCTCGCGTCCAAAGCCCACTCCCTCATTCATGGGAGCCGTGGCGACAGAGGAAATGAATTCCTTTGACTCCAGTAATCAACGCTGTATCACACGACTGGAAGGCGAGGAAGTCACAGAGAGCTTTTATAACTGCAATACTCTCATGTCAGAACTATTTACTCTGGCGGTTTTATCTGCCTTTTGAGGGTGGCTCTTTTCCCAAGGCCTTGGTCGACCACACTGTATAATACTTGTTATATGTATCACTTATTTGCTGAACCGTATCATTTTCTCATTCTTGACTACGATAGAACAGGGTTTCTGATCTTTACTTATTACATGCCTGGCACAAACAGGCAGATGTTATTTATGGGAATATACACGCAGCCCAGCTCTAGTGTAGAAACAAGACAAAACCGTAAACCCAATGTAAGCTTGGTTTCTATGTCCGTTGTATAAATATTTAAGGGTAACGCAACCGGCTCCCTACGGGGGAATTCTGCTGGACAGTAGAAACACGTTTATAGAGATCCAAAAAAAAGTGTAGCTATAAATGTCGAATAAACCAGCGGTTTTGGAGATACACAAGTGTGCGCCATAGATTGTTAGCATGTTTCCACAGTGTGCTTAGGTTAGTGAGAAGCCGGCAGTCACTGAATATGCGTGCAGAATTAACGAAATGCATTTCAACACGTAGTCCTGTCACGCGGTCTGGAAGAAATAAACCCTGGGAAAATGTGCCTGCAATCTCGGGCCTCGCTAATGCAGTTGCCATTTTAAGTGTGTCCCATAATTGTGCTGCAATTTTCAGGAGTTCGTCACTAAGATGTGCTATAACGAGACATGGCAAGGTTCAAGGCAGAAGTGGGGTTGCTGCTGGGGAATTAGCAGGTGGACAGGTGGGTGGACAGGCATACAGACAGACAGGTAGGCAAAGACAGTCAGAGAGACAGGGAGGCAGGCAGACAGACAGGTAGGGCAGGAGGGTGGGTGTCCAATCAGAGACAGATAGACAGAGAGGCAGGCCAGCAGACAGGCAGGCTGGAGGACAGACAGGCTGGTCGTGAAGTAAACATGCTAATCTGGCAGGTAGGCAGACAGACAGGCAAGTAGACAGTCAGACAGGTAGACAAAGACAGACAGAGAGGCAGGCAGGCACACAGACAGGTAGGGCAGGCAGGTGGGTGTGCAGACAGAGACAGATAGACAGACAGGTAGGCCTGCAGGCCCGCAGGTGGCCAGACAGACAGGTAAGCAGACAGATAGGCTGGTGGACAGACAGGCTGGTAGACAGACAAGGTAGGCGGGCCAGCAGACAGGCTGACAGTGAGGTAAATATGCTAATCAGGCAGGTAGGCAGACAGACAGGTAGACAGTCAGACAGACAGGCTGGTAGACAGACAAGGTAGGCAGGCCAGCAGACAGGCTGACAGTGAGGTAGCCAGGTTGGCAGATGGGCAGATAGACAAACAGGCAGGCAGTCCAGCAGTCCAGCAGTTCAACATGACTGGCGGCGTGTCAGTCAAACAGGCAGAAAGGCTGACGGTGAAGTAAATGTGCTAATTGGGTGGGCAGACAGGTAGGTGGGCAGACAGGCAGACAGCGAGGTAAACAGGCTGGCAGGCAGACAGATTTTTTGGGGCTGTGCACTATAGCTGTGTAACACTTAGAGGTTCCCACCTCATCATCCACCAGGGCAGGGAAGGTTAGGTCTCAGCATCACCGCTGAGAGATGCACACACTTCTGTGATTTTCCACTGAGTTTGGGGGGAGGGTGGAATTAAGCCATTAAGGGAAGGAAAATTTTCTCCTCAGCTTTGACTTGAGGGAGTAACATTTTTAATTGACTTCTTACATTATATCTACCCTTGAGCACAATCTTGTTTACATTAACAGTCATTTAAAAAACAAAACAGGAAAAAAAAAAAAAAAAGCAGCATGCACCCCAAGCGAAGTTACGTGTTCGGGAGAGTAAACATACCTTCTGCTGTCAGAGGTTGGGCGGCGCACGTCGGAGATTGCGGCCTCATGCCCCCTCAAGTTATCGAGCGCGAGAATGTGCCACGAAAGGCACTCAGCGAAATGCAGCCGCCAATCGGAATCTAAGTCAAGGAGGTGGATCGCCTGGCACGCAATCCGTTTACGTTCAGGCTTAGCACTTAGCTTAGCGACCTCCTTATCCAGTGGATATGATGATTCAATCGGCACTTTGCGAGGATGACAGACGCAGCCTAAGCAAGCGAAACATGAATAAGCGCTTTTCATGCTTCCATACTCCGTATCAAGCCCACCAGCTAAATAAATGGTCTGTTTACCTTATATAAATCATACACTGCGGGCGTTTTTGCTGTCATTAACTTAACGATCCCCAATCGCAGGAAGCCACAGGACTTTAGAACCAGGTTGCCTCTCCCATGTCATCCTTCATGAACCCTCCCCCAAAAACACTTAGGTTCTAAGTCACCAGCATGAACTCTTGTTTGCTCAACGAGTCCCCAGGCTGGCCAAAGGGAAAACAACTGTTTCACTTTGGGCTCTCGGAAGACAGAGAAGTGGGAGGAAAAGCACCAGATTAGTGGTACTCTGAGGGGCAGGTAATGATGGTCCTGGTTTAGCGGGAGAGACCTCCCTCAGAAGGTAAGTACTGCTAAATTCGAGCACAACCCTATCATCATCTTTGTTGCTCTATTGTAGCAGATTCCAGGCTTTCTTCACCCATTAAAGAAACCACACATATTGTAACGCAATAGGATTGTTGAAGACCAACAACACTTTCAGTTAAATATCCCCAAAATTCTCAGAAATATTTTAAATCCATCCACGTCCCGAGTTTAGGTGAGTGTTACTAATACCAAGCCGAGTTTCAATCTACCGTGCTCCGTTACATTCAGCCCATCTCAAACTTCACGAGATAAAATGCCAAATCCGAAGCAGGCACATTCTGGCTGTGCCCTCAGTGATTTCCTGCACCCTGCAGGGGACAGTCCCAGCTACGCTGTCAGGCTGGACTTTTACACGGGCTTGAAACCCAACGGCTGCTGGTTCCAGGAGCTGCCCTGCCACTGGTACTGAAGGAATCAGCCATCTGAATAAAGGGGCGACGCCATAAGAAGCTCCACCAAACTCATGCTATCTGCAAACATACCTCTGTTCACACTTCTCTCCCCACCCCCTCCCCCATTTACCTACTTGGTACATTCCAAGCTCTTGGTTCACCCCAGTTGTTGCTGTATATTCGCATTGGCAGGATTATGGAGAGGGGTGACCCACCTTCTGCTGGGGGGCCGGGGCCTCTTGCGCCGCTGGAGCCAGCTCTGTAGCTCGGGCGTGAAGCTGGGCGTGGGTCGGGTGTGATCAATGGTACACACATCCTTGCCTTGCTTCCACACCTGATAGCGGTCTGGCTGGAAGCGCCGCACGAATGGGTCCATGGAGATTTTCACCATGTCCTTACTGCAGGTGCACTGTAGGGGGCAGTAGAGATTACATTCACTAAGCATCGAGCATCACGCTCCTGGAGAAGGGAGGGGGGGTGTATTTGCAAGTATGTAAACAATCGGGCTACAAAATATGAAGAAAAACCAATGAAAATAAGTTACTCAGAGACTAAAAACTGGGAAGTACTGTAAGGAATCCATTTGCAGAGTCATTTCAACAAAACAATGGTTTATTGAACAGCAAAATAATATAATGTCACAGTGCTGACATACACCCGGTATTCAAAGGCAGCTGAAATGCAAAATAAGGATAGTTCTTTAACTACCTTTATATCCTAAAATGGAATTGTGCAAACCGCTCCTCGGGGACCCCGAGACGGTCCACATTTTCGCTCCCTCCCAGCTCTCAGTAGGCTCACTGGTTCCCGGTTGGGAAACACAGTTCAATGCATCACTAGCAAAAAAGGTTTACTGTCTAGCAGGAAGCTGAGAGGGGGCAAAAACGTGGACCATCTGGGCGACCCCAAGGACCGAGTTGGGAAACAAGGTGACCTGGACTGTGGGGATCCTGCGAGTCAGGGATGGACCAGGACAGGACTGAGACCTTCTCATGAGAGCAAATGCTAATTCAATCACTCTCTCAAGTCACTGTTAATTCAATCAGTCCCTTATCATAGTGGTGCCAAACTGAACCCCAATTCTCTTTCTTTCCCATGATCAGAATTTGCTGACTGTATTCAAATTAAGAAAGACAGACCCAGCATTAAGAGTGATTTTCATTGGCCGAGTGCCTCCAGACAGCCCAATGACAGCACTGGCCATAGGACTGCTGACAGCCGGCTGCATGCTGGTGCTGGTAGGTCCACCTGCAGGAGCTGATGCAGAGCTGGATGACCCGGCAGATCGGGACCCACCCAATCTCCCCGACGACACTCTCCTAATCACACCAAGGCGGTAGGAACAGGCCGGCGTCTGCAAGCTGCCTCAGCCCAGCGGCGCCTCACTGCCTAAAACAGGCGGCTACCCCTGACAGCATCTCACGGACTCCTGTGACACGAGGACGCGTCCGGACTGCAGGCGACATGGCAGAAGGGAAGAGGAACAGCAAAGGTGCGAGACTCAAGGGGAACTCTGAACATCTCTGTCAGGGATGAAACTGTGATTCAGAGATGGAGAAGTACAGGGCGCATAACACCAGGCTACTCATGGACAGCACAAAGGTGGACATACCCGCAAAACAGGTGGGTTACCGGGGGGGGGGGGGGGAAATAATTAAACTTGTTGAGTGGCACACGATACAACGATGCAATACAGGAGTAATCGCGTTCAAAACATGATAATCTGGACGCCCAGCAATGCTTTCACTAGTGAAAGTTTTTACGCACTTACTGGAAAGTTACTGAGAGCTCTACAAAGAGTTGAAAAGCACCGGTGAAATCCCAAGAGGTCAATAAGGTGAAAGAGTCAAATAGCCCCATAATGCCTGGTTTGGGGGGGGGGGGGCGCAAAGGGGGCCCTTGAGGAAAATTAGAAGGGGACAGAAGATCAATAGTCATCATTAACCGAAACGGTCATTAACACACGGCCCTCGCTGATTCTACCCCTCGCCCATTGGCTCAGCCGTGGAGGCAGATGGGAAGGGCCCAGGAGATCGACGACGCGATGCGGGGAGCCCTAAGGGGAGGGCGAGTCCGCGTGGGGACAGCGGGGGCTAGGCGGAGCGGACCGGCCTGTCAACCTGCCGGTGATTCATCAAAGACGAAGAGGAGGAAGGCCACTGCCCAGTAGAATAACGAGTCACAGACGGCAGAGCCTTAAGGTCACCCTGTCGTCATTTTTACGAGGAGCCTTCCCAGGAGCACCCAACTGGGGGAGTTTTACTTACACGAAAATGTTCTGAGGGCAGAACAAATAATTATTGCCGTTCAGAGTGGTGGGACCAAGAGTAGGCGGGACCAAGACGTCTGATTGCTTGGTCCCGCCTCCTTTAGTTGCTTGGACCCACCTTCTCTATAATGTGATTGGTCATCTCTCTGAACCAATCATTTTTCCTTCTGCTCTCAGAATATTTTTGTGTAAGTAAAACACCCAAGAGCACCATCTGATGCGATACGATTTCTGAAAGGAGCCCCCCCTTCTCCCCAAAGTCTGACATTCTTTTTGAACAGCATGCCCAGTTAACTTTTGGAACAACATTAAGAATGCAGTGATGAAGAACTACCTACCTATAACTTAATGCAATCTAATAGATGCTTAATGCAAACACACAAGTCCTCGTGTAGCGATGTCACTCTGAAAGGGAGACGCGGCCTTTTATTTGCTGTCCAAACCCAACCAGCGTGAATCGTAGCGCCCCTGCAGCCCATGTGACATCACTGCGGCTGTGGGCCAGTGCATGGATGTTACTTACGTTAACGGCACGTTAAAGATGGCAGCATGACAAATGACTTATTAATGCCTGGAGGGGATAATGGATGCAGGCAATGCACCACCCCGTCTGGTGGACGTGCTTCACATCACATCTCCATTGTCTCTGCCACTGCGACACACACACATACACACACACACACACACGGGTTTGTAATTATGTCTTTGTGGGGACTCTCTACTCATTTCTATGGGGGAAGACATTAATCCCAGCATGATGACCTTAACCCCTACCCAGCCCTAAGTGTAACCATAAGCAACCAAGCAAAATTCAAGTCATTTTTAGTTTTTTGATTGCATTCACAGATCTTTGTGGGGACCTGAAATATGGTCCCCAGAACTTCAAAATAATGGCTTTTTATTACATCGTGGGGAACATTTGGTTTGAATTGTGATCCTTTCCCACGCTAGTGATATGTGACGGCTACGATTTTTAACAATGTATCATACGGTACATATGTACAGTGTAACAATTACTGTATGCATATGTATGAAGTACTCTATGTTTATAGGCTGAGCTTGGTGGATCACCAAATTGTGTACTTTCGGTTTTTTGGGGTGAGCGGGGGTGCATTGCGCAACGCCTGGTCTTTGTACAGGTGGTTTACAAAATATGAAACCTCTGGGAATAAAGAACGAAGAAGGGAAATGAAAATTAAGTCACGTCAATTATGTGTATACAGCTGCAAGTAATATAGAGCAGAACTCTGCAATTCATTGGTCGGCCTGCAGGGGGCGCGCGGCTAAACCGCAGAGGTCGTGGGTCACCGGGACGCCAAGCCTGAGGCCTGAAACAGCCGGATCGCAGGGGTTTCAAAGCCGGTGCTGTCTTACGCGGAGATCCGTCACAGTCTCGCACCTGCAGGGGGAGTAACTCCCCCCCCTGAATCAGAAGTCTGTTCCTGCGCACTGGACTGCATCGGTCACAGTTTACTGCCCGTGAGAAATGACAGTCCATCACGGACTCCTGAGAAGCGCCCTTAAACGCTTAATCATCCACATCACTCAGCAACACTGCGGCCGTAATAAATCAGTGCGGGGCAGACTAAATGATAATGCACCTTTATTCTCGTTATATATTCTTTACAAAAGGCCTTAAAGTGGAGATGAAGGAAAAATATGTCTAGATGACACACCGGACTGTTCAGCAAGGCCCTGAAATATTGCGTATGTACAGTGTATTTCAGCTGGTGCCTCTGGTGATCTATAGAGTGTCAGAAAGTATTCGGTGATCCTTTGTCCGTGTACAGCGAGACAATGCATCCAAAACCTCAAAGGGGCGGGGCTGTCGGAGTCTGGGGCCATGGATGCCTCGATGACATGGCAACAGAAGCCTCCCTCTCATGGTCACCTTGGCGACAGGCTGCGATGGGCGTGGTCGAGCTCTCACTGAGCGCTGGCAGGGACAGCAGACCGCGTGGTAGACGGCACACGAGACCTAACGTTTACATTTCATTTATTCAACAGATGCTTTTAACCAAAGTGACGCACAGATTTGGGGCTTAAGGGCCTTGCTCGGGAGGCCGAGGGTGCCAACCATGGGATTCGAACCAACAACGGGATTCGAACCAACAACAGACATGATGCATTAACCTACTGAGCCACACACATTGCCCCATAATATGGGATGATAAAGACCTGTAATTTTACATTCATGACAGTGAGTGTGTGTGTGTGTGAGGGGGGGTGGGAGGGTGTAAAGCACACAGACAGTCAGCACACTTTAAAGATCTGCCTGCGGGAACATGCATCGGCAAGGCCGTGATCTTATCCAGCACGTGAGGCCCTCGGGAACCGGATCATGTGCTCTCCATTAAGGGGCGTCCGCTTTCTGCTACTGCCCCCTCCCCTGACGGAGCCCCTCCCCTACCACCTTCAGACCGTCAGCAGACAGTGCACCGAAGCTGCCGGCGCCACGAGAAGTCCCCATCACGGGGGGGCGGGGCCGTCATCGGTCACGCCCCTCGCCTACACCAAACACCTCGCTCCTAAAGCTGCACGATGGAGCCTCGGTGAAAGGCACGATTCAGCAGGTACTTCAGCTTCGCTCCCATTCGCTAAATCAGGGCCGACCCAACTGACCGATGGTGTCTTTCAGAGCGACTTCCAGCCCCCAGATGATAACTCGAATGGTGAAAATAGAGGAAGCAATCACCTCTGATTATACCATTCACAGAATAGCCAGCAAAACTCACCTAGCCTTGCAAAGATGTCTTTGGAACAACACTTACCAGCAGCCCTAGAGTGATCGGGGTTCAAGGCCTGGGTCAAGAGCCCAACAGTGGCATCATTCTACAGGCCACGGGATTTGAACTGACAACCTTCTGATAATGGGCATAGTATCCTGAAGCACACTTCTACAAGCTGAACTGCTGATGGAAGTCGCTGAAGGTCTCACAGCACAGAACAAATCAGGCCCGGTTGCAGGTCCAGCTTTCAGTCTCACGAGAGAAGCCATCCTGGGTTCCCTGTCAATGGAACTACAGCTGGCGTCCGAAAAGGCCACATACCAGGTTTGGGCCTAAGATGGCGCTAGCGTGCATCGCTGAGCCCCCTCCATCTCATTGGCCCGTCCCCAACATGGACGCATGCAGCTCAAC